CAGAGGGGCAACTGAGGAAAATTATACTGAAGCGGTGCCCAACCCTGCCCGAAGCCGCGCCCTCCCATTGCACAAGAGGGAGGGATCGGTACTGCGCAATGATTTTATATTACATTTCAATATACATGCGTCTCTAGAATTCTCCGCTTTTCAGTTTTTATAAATAAAATCGATTCGGCGGATAGTTTTGTTTGTGTAATTGTAAAATAATTGCATACACAAAGAAGGGAAAATATTTTATAACAAAGATTTCTCACTTACTCTTTCATATTTTTCAAATGTTAAAATTCAGTCATCAATATTTTCGTTATATCATTAGCATTTTTCTAATTTTTAATAAACTCTTGGACTTGAGTGACACAATGGAATACCAACTTTGTGAATCTTAGGGAGACAATAAATATATTGGAGCTTGGTGTAACTTTGAATCAACTCTATATTTATTCAGTGTGAAGTAGTCCCTATTATTATTTAGGATGTTTGACAACTTTCTCTTAGTTTTTACGATCCTTTTTTAACATTGTTATAGTCACTATCATTAACTAGGCTTACCATTTTCTCGGAGTTTTCTATCTAGTCCATCACCACCGTATCGTTGCTTTTTTTCGCTGGCAGTATAATGATTATAGTGTCCTTCTGTAAGGTTTCAATTGCCAACCTTTCTTCTCTTGTGATGTTGGATTTGGCAGTCTTAGCCTTTTTTAGTGGATGTCTCACTCACAACCATCTGTTAAGCTATGAGGATCCTATTAGGAGGTCTAGAAATAAATAAAATATGGGGGGACCATTAATAAAGTAAGAAGGAGAAGTGAAAGCAATAGTAGTAAAAAGTGAAGTCTCAGTGTGTGCAGTCAAGCGTGCTAATTAGCAGCAGTAGCCATTCATCAGGAAGCAGTTCCAAGTTCTTGAGGTTCCAAGTTCTACTCTCAGAATTGTTCCACGTGACAAAAGCTTGTATTAAATCGCGTTGCTTTGTGAATTTTGCGATCTCTTGACCAGGGCAGTGCACAAATAAGTGGAAACGGGTCGGACAATAACTGAGTAGTACTAAATAAGAACTAGACAATATATCCCTGGACAGGGTCAACGGAACGAGAATATCTACTCCCATAGATTAAATAAAGTGTTTTGTTTGATATTCTCTGAAAGTTACCCAGATCGACAATCATCTGAAGGCCGGAGAACACAGCGACCGAAAGTTTATGATAACAGCAGAAAATATGGGGTCAATACTACGCGTAAAATAAATAATGTTACTTGCATTATTTACATTATTCAGACTGTTATCCTCACCTTCACTTGGTCGTTGTACGCTCCGGCCTTCTTCAGGAATTTCCGGAATTTTCCAAGGAGAGAAATGAATACAATATGGGAACCAGTAATAAGGAGTGCTAGAGAAAAGCAATGAATAACAACAAAAATTGCAATATAAACTCTGATAAAAAATGCAATAATAATAACAAAAAATTGCAGTAGAAGCACTGGTAAAGACGATCCAGTAGATCCAGAGAGTTGTGAGTTCAATACCAGGTCACAGTAGTGATAAACCAAATCTTGGAGAGTTGGGTTAAAGGGAAATAATTGAGACATCCGGAAGAGGCATGGCACGTGGAACTAGAACAATCTACCCCGGTGGACGAAATAAAGGTTTGGTTCGAAATTCCAATCACCTCGAGAAGGCCGGAGTTTACAACGGCCGAAACGTTGTGAATATGGCAATGAAGATGAGGATAACAGTCCGAATAATGCAAGTAATCATAATACCTTATCTCAGAGATATAAACAGGTAAATAATATTTTGTTCTGCTTTTTAAATAACTAAATTAAAAAAAAAATATGTAAAGAAAGTCAACATGAAACAGTTGAGATAAAAAGTAATATAGTTGATACCCGGCTCCGTTTTTATGATAAATAGAGGGGGGGATGCAAATAGTTGGGATCTATGTAGCATAACAACGGAATATCTCATATTTCAGATTAGGGGAGATAAAGAGTGTGAAGGATGAATTTATAAATTCACGTTGTGCTTCGTATTATAAGGTGGACATTCTTCCATATGATATATTATTATATTCATTTCTTATATACTAATTTGGACTAATAAGTTCATCGTCTGACATGTAGTTACTAGCTGAAATTTATCTGAAATTTTCACTGTATAATGTTCAATATATTTAAAAGACACGCACACATAATTCGCGCATCCACAGACATACCCGTATATAAATAGTAATTTCTCAAAAATGAAGTGATTTTGTTTATAGTGCAAACTCTTTACCTTATTACAACAAGCATTATATATAGTAAATACATTTATGTGACGAGTCATAGCTGTTTTGCAAAATAGAGTAATTGATGTTAACCGGCCCGAATATTCTGAAGTATTGATAAATAAATTGTGCCTTTTGGCAGAGATCGAAATTGCGTCCCACTTATATTGGGGCAACCACCGTTAAGCTCGATCACTGAGCCAAGAAAGATTTTACAGTAGCGCGATATTCAATTACCCACTTTTAAGAAACGCACATCTGCACACGGTAATGAAGGCTATACGAAGTAAGTGAATTTCTAAAGTATAATAGATTTATTTGGTCATAGCCAGCTGAGAAGAAGAAAGGAATTTGTGAAAATTTGCATCAAATAGTAACCCTGCGTACTTTCATGATTATATTTGTGTATCTGTGCATGTGTGGGTGTGGTTACACACACACACACACACACACACACACACACACACACACACACACACACACACACAAACATATATATATATATATACATGGGAAGGCCTGACGGTATATATATATATATATATATATATGAAAATTTGCATCAAATGGTAGCCTTATGAGCTTCCATTCTTATATACAAATGTATCTGTGCATGTGCTTAGGTGTGGTCACACACACACACATATATATATATATATATATATATATATGGGATGGCCTATATATATATATATATATATATATATATATATATATATATATATATATATATATATATATATATATGTGTGTGTGTGTGTGTGTGTAAAATTGCATCAAATGGTAGCCCTATGTGCTTCCATTCTTATATTTATTTATCTGTGCATGTGCTTGGGTGTGGTCACACACACACACACATATATATATATATATATATATATATATATATATATATATATATATATATATATATATAGGATGGCCTGGCGATTGCATTTAGCATGAAACAGACTGTGTATTGACTATCAATGTACACTTTTATATTTAAATACGCCCTATCTCTGATATTAACCATTTTAACCCATAAATATGGCACACCTTTAAACTATTTTATCGTGGCCGAGTGGTTAGAATGTTCGCTTTCTGGCCATGTGACCCGGGTTCGAATCTCACCATGGTCAATTTGTCAGGGAGGAGACTTCCTGATGTTATCCTATCTAGATCCCAGCATGCGGCATCTTTGGAAAGTGCTTGAAAACCATAACGCGGGATTACCCAAGCCTTATGAGTGAAATTGGATAGACGAAACTCTTTGGGGCTAGCACGCCACGAAGCCAGAAGTCATCGTGGCCGAGGGCTTGAGCGTGCTGGCCTTGTTCAAATTGTTGATCACGCTAAATAACACGCTCTCTCCAAGAAACTGTAACTAAGGTCTGCTCGGCATAGTTGCAGTATAAACCACAGGTGGGCTCTGTGGTTGTTGAGCAAACATAAATGTGTCTGAGCGAACGTCTGCAATAGGGATTGGTTAACCGCCCTAGTAGACCGGTATTCTCGAATACGAGTGGCTAGCTATTATATATATATATATATATATATATAAGTTTCACCCTGTACAAGGTCCGGGGTGCATTAAGAAGCAATTTATTCAGATAGAAAAGGAAGATAATAGTTAACCCGAGACTTTAACAGGTTAAGATTATAGTGACCGGGAAAACATCCTCAAGGGAGTCGGTTCAGATCAGTGGTTCCCGGGAAGAATCTTTTCGGGTGGAACTTACTTCTCACCGATGGAATACGGATGGAATGTGGGTGGATTCCTACAATGCAAGTGGCGTGGCGGGTCCTAACCGCGAAGATTAGAACTGGCGGAAGCAAGGAATGTAGAGCATTTTCCATGGAAGTGGCGATAAAGCAGTGAGAGGCTTGCCACATCTCGTCTCTGTGTGTGTGTGTGTGTGTGAGAGAGAGAGAGTGAGAGAGAGAGGTTGAGAGGTAGAAAATAATTTGTCACCCACGAAGTCTCGGAGACGCATTTGAACGCTATCGAAACTGAAAAGTGAACAGTGGGCAGCCCCCGCCCAAATATGACCACAGTATTCCATTTTAGTCCATTTTAGCTCTTGTAAAATTAGTCAGGTACTTACTGGAGTGGTAAAGAGTGCTGACCATTTTACGTGCATCTTTAGCGATGGATCGTATGTACGAGTTCCACTTGAAGTCAGATGTGTGTTTCTAGTCCAAAAGTCTCTCAAGGCACGGTGTTTTCCTGAAGGGACATCCCTTCATCATGACTAGCGGTATTTCCAGGTCCGACACGCGATAATGGTGTGTAATTAGCTTAATTTTTGAGGCAGCTGTTTTAGAGGTACACCAGTATATCGACATATCATCAGCATAGCTGTTGACAAATGATCTCTGGGTATATTCTTAAGCAGATTATTCGTGTAAATAATGAATATATATATATATATATATATATATATATATATAAATAAACTTATATTTTGTGGATACATCTGTTTGAGTAGACATTCCTGTCTTTAAACAGTGTAAATGACGTCAGTCGGTCTCGGTAATTGAAAAAAGTATGTGTTTTGACGGGGATCGAAACTGCGAAAAAAATCACATGCCATTTGCCACCTGTGATGCAATTTTTCTCATTCTGAACCAAATAAATTCACCGGCCATTAGAAATTCACTTACTTTATATAGCATTCCTTACTGTCTGCAGTTAATTACTTGGCACCAAAGAGATTACCACAGATTAGCATTGAAGCATACTTCAAGCCGTTGTTGAAGTATTGGATGTCACTAAGCCGCTAAAAATTATGGTAAACATGTACAGGCCTCGTGCTTTTTTTTCACCTTTAGACAAAACGAGTTGAATAATTGTTGAACATTCCTCTTAGACGATTTGGCACAAGAATTTCATCAGAGACAAAACAATATTCCTTTGAACTGAATTTTAAAAAATGCAAAAACAAAATGATCTAATTTTGGTAAAAACAAAACAAAAAACACTTTCATCTAATTTAACTAATAAATGTTTTTTCACGTTTTACTCTTGGGCAAAAAATCTTAACACCTGGGTGTTTGTAAAATTCTTTTTCTTTTTTTTTGCCTTTGTCCATTTAGAATATTTAATGAATTCTATTCCAGTTTGCAGTTCGTTCTTTTATTTTTTTATTTTCTTTGATTCTAACCATTTGAAGATTTTGGAATTTCCTTCCGATAAAAGGCATATTTAAAGACAGAATAAATTGTTTCTTTTTTTATTCAGTTCTTTTATCCACCCTTCCCTGTTTCTGGTGGTGTCTGTCTTTTTTCACTAACTTCTGTACATTTGTTTGTTTTCTTTCTTTTACATCCCATTCTTTCTTTCTTTCTTTCTTTCTTTCTTTCTTTCTATTTATCTTAGTGTGGCTCAAGGCAAAATGAGGAGAGGAATATTTTTATACTCTTCTCAGTAGCTAAGACGTGTATGCTTGAACACTTATCCCTGATCTCGATGAGAAAATGCATAATTTAGTGCATTTTCTGACAGAATTCTCTTTTTCACATTTTTTCTTTTTCGTTTTGCCATTTCTTTTTCACAATATATTTACCTTTCCTCTATTTGTATTTTCTCCTTCTTTGTTCATTTTTAATACTTTCTTAAATCTAATTCTTTTAAATTGTTTGCTTTCGTAATTAATTTATATATCTTCTTTCTTTCTTGCTTTCTTTCTTTCTTTCTTTCTTGCTTTCTTTCTTTCCTGGCAATGATCATCGTTCACCATTTTAATTTAAGCTCAAAGGACTGATATTTCCGACATTCATTTAATAACCTTCCCAAAATAAAATAATCAAGGAATCATGCTTTCTCAATTACAGCAATTCCCATGTAATAGGAAACAGAAAAATCTTTCAGATTTTCAAAGATTTCATTTCATTTCTAATAACATCAAAATTTAAATAAAATATGAAAATTAATATTAAACACATAACGCCATCAGATATTACGATTTCTGTGTATTTTGCTTTTGATTAATAATTAAAAATAAATCATCCGTAAGCGAGATTGCTTTGAATTCCCGTGGTTTCTTCAAGGAGACAAGCAACGCATATGGAGGGAATTGGTAGCTGGCTAAACAGTTGACACCCTTTCTCTATTTCTCTCTCTCTCTATCTCTATTTCTCTTTCTCTCTCTCTATCTCTATTTCTCTCTCTCTCTATTTCTCCCTCTCTCTATTTCTCTCTCTCTATTTCTCTCTATTTCTCTCTCTCTATTTCTCTCTCTCTCTATCTCTCTATTTCTCTCTCTCTCTATCTCTCTATTTCTCTCTCTCTCTATTTCTCTCTCTCTCTCTCTATTTCTCTCTCTCTTTCTCTCTCTCTCTCTATTTCTCTCTCTCTATCTCTCTCATTATCATTTCCTCCAAGAAACAATGCTCACCATGTCATGCCTAAAATAAAGCTAGAAAAAAAAGAACTTGTTGATTAAATCTGTTGATGCAGCATTAGGTTCTACCTGAGGAACTGTCTATAGACCACGAGTATCCAGAGACGACACGCAACGCAACATGAATATGTGTGTGTGTGTTGCTTTGGTTTGATTTGTTTAACGGCATATCAACTCCTCATTGATCATTTAATGCCATAATTTAATTTCCTTGGGAGCTTTGGTAATTTACGTTTTACTATTGCTGGAAATGTTTGCTATAAAAATGTATTTTTATATTTTCATAGTGTTTTGACCCCATTTTGGGGGTTCAGTATTTACCCATAGCTGGGACCCTAACAGGGGCTACCACCCTGAGTTAAGGTGAACCTGGGAACGACAGCAATTAAGAGATGGTTCCACTCCCGATCAGAGGCCTTGCTGCCGGATGTAGTTTATCCTCACACACAGGACGATGGGTGGGGGAGTTTCTGTCTATCAAATACGAATTCATAATTCTCTTTTGAATTGAGTTTGAACACTAACCTCTAACACCGGTTAAAGAAGTAAACCATTTCCGGAACGAGGTAGGTAACACCTTAGAAGTCTTGCCTTGACGAATTGGTGATAAATCTATATTGAATATCGATTTCTGACGTTTCAATAGCATTGTTTCTTCACCAGTGAAGAGAGTGGGCGTTTCTTTGGAATGTCTATGATGTGTGTGGAGTTATCACCATTCAACGTATTTGCGGCGTGTGGGAAATTCTGACTACATCGATTAAAACGATCAAATCAGATTTTTTTTCAACAAGTCTTCTTTAATATTTGCTGGACGAAACTAGTTTTGACAGATGGTCACATCCGGCAAAGACTAATCATTGATCGACAACTTTCTTCATCAATCAATAATACGACATTTGATAGATGCTTACTAAAGCCTCAAGTATCTGTTCACTTTGATTTGATGGAAAAACGGGAAGTAATGGACGACAATATGAATAATGCTAAAAATAACAAAACTCATCTCTCAAAATTCTTACAACAATAGACGTACATTTATTCCTTTTCTGATTATGAAGAATGTGTTCTGAAGCAAAAATATCTAAAGAATCCTCTAAAACCCTCGGGATTTCGATAATACAGATAATCAAGACGTGCTTGTCATAACGGAATTTGAAATCGATCATCTGGAGTGGAAATACGAAATCCAAATAAGAAATCCAAAATATTTTACTACGCGTAGACAGTTGACATGAAATATACTTTCACGTTTTACGACCAGAAATCAACTTTCATGAATTCAACAATCGCTTTTTACGAGCCCTCTAGAGAATACATCTAGAAATATTTCATAATTTATTTGACTATTTTTCTTCAAGGAACGTCTATTTCATTTTCTTCCAATGTGCTTCTGTTTTATTCAATAACTTATGTATCTTCTTATGCTGACTAAAAACTTTGGCCTCCTTTACAAACTGTATCCTCATAAAATAATAAGAGCCTCTTTTCATATCGAACTCTTATTAATAATGAATTAGGTGAAATGATATTCGTCAAAATATAAAATTCTCATAATTTACTTTTAAAATTCAGATAACACAACTGGAAATTGTGATATGAGGTTCAGACAGAAAGGTAATGTCTCTTCTAATTTATTTTTAAAAACATTAGTCAAATGTCTTAGTTTTTTTTAGCTACAAACGGTAAAGTGATAGAGTGATGAGTGGAGTTTCATTATCTTTTTCTACCTATAATCCTCTTTCAAAATGGTCGCCCACTTCGTACTGGATACATTAGAAAGCAAAATTATATTGTGTAATTTCTGTTTTGTAAAGAAATATGCAACAAACATTCGTGAGATTTGTGAATGTTTACGGAAAGAATGTACGTGATGTAAGGAAATAGGTGAGTAGAGTTATTTTTTAAAAAATTATTTCATTCCAAGCAAAGTCACTAACAAGCAAAGGGGTTATTAAGGGCGGAAGAAACAAATAGGACAGGACTCAAGAGGACAGATGTCGATAATTGACATTACATTTAAATGCTTAAAAATTGTAGTTGACAGGAAAGCAAGAGGACAGAAAAGAATTCCATGGGTGAGAAGTGCGAGAGAGGAAACTATTAGAATAGAAATTACAGTTACAAGTAGAAATTTCAACAGTGAGATCATGAGACCTATGTGCCAATCTAGTACTGCGCTTAAACTCGTAAAGTCGAGGTACCAAAGAGTAAAAGCTCACCAGAACAATTATCGTGAGAATTATCTATCTATCTATCTATCTATCTATCTATCTATCTATCTATCTATCTATCTATCTCTCTCTCTCTCTCTCTCTCTCTCTCTATATATATATATATATATATATATATATATATATATATGTGTGTGTGTGTGTGTATGATATGAATACGTGATGACACTTTTACAATGGATAATCCTCATTGCTGTGAAGTAAATCAAAATGAGATTAAACCGAAAAGATTTAATCTTTTGTGCGTCTATATATAGAGATAGATAGATAGATAGATATATAGATAGATCATTTTCATGTTGATTGAACTAGTGAGCTTTTACTCTTTGTTATCTCGACTTCATGAATTTAAGTGCAGTACTAGAATGTCAGATAGGTCTCATAATTTGTATTACTGATACTTTTAGCTTCATTTTGGCATACTTTATCTGCTTTTACTATTAAATACAGATTGTAATTATTAAAAGAACAGCCATTATCTTCTGTTTTTAAGATAAATGGGTTAGTGCGAAACCATTTCATGTCTTTCAATTTTGGCATTATTATTTATTGTATAAAGCCGGGTATTAACAATGTAGTCAGTTTGAAATCAAATATAATAAAGATTCTGATAAAAACTTTCGTTTTTAAAAGAATTCTAATCATCAGTATAGAGATTTCTAAGAGCAGTAACGAAAAGCGTTATTGAAATGGCGTATAAAAGGCTGAAACAGTCTTAACAACAAGAAATACACAATAATATCGCTTTGCCTCTTTTATTATAAAGAAATAAATTGGGTGAACATGAAAGGAAATTAAGTTTGCTGAGTTTTGTTCGTTTAAACATTCCAATTTTGTTTTATGTTTTTATCAGGACACCTGTGTCTGTTTGAATTCAAATCTATTTTAAATTACTTTTTTTGATCCGACATCAGAATAGCTTTCTTTCTTTCTTTCTTTATTTCTTTTTCTACTTTCATTTTCGATATTTTCTTTGTATTTATTTCTCTTATATTAATTTCTTTTCATTCTTCTTTATTTAATTCTTTGGCTTCTCTTTTCTTTTCCCTTTCTTTATCCTTTTATTCTGTTTTGAAACGTTCTTCTTTTCTTTATTTCTTCCTTTCTTTCTTTCTTTCTTCTGTTTGCGTCAGTTTTTTCGTCTTTGGTTTCCCCATTCTTTTTATGGCAAATCTTGTTGTTTTCTGTCTTTGAATATTTTTTCTTTTAACATTTTCTTCCTTCCGCTTTTTAAAAAACCTTCTCCCTTCATCATGATTTTCCATTTAAAACTTTTCACCTCTATTTCTAATAAGCTTTGTAATAGAATTGAAAATCATTTCGATTGATTCAAAGATTCCTGTAATAATGTCTGCCATCAGATGAGCGCTACACACAAGCCCGAAAAATATTCATGACATCTGAATGTGAAATAAAATTAACAACCACAATAACCAGAGAACCGATATGCCATTTGTCACCATCAAAGCTTCGTGATTAAAATAATGAAAACTTCAATAACAATGGACGATATACAACATAAAATCCACATTAAATCCGTGTATGAAATCTTTCGTCATTTCTTTTTCTAACTTTGAATGTTAATCGATTTGACAGTCGAGTTTATTAAAATCTCGATAACTGAAGATCGTACATGAACTGAGAAACAGTGGAAATAGAAGCGAGGCTTATATGAAACCATTCAACTGACATTTATGCTGTATCGTCGAAACAAGTCATATTGTTTATGGGCACGAATTGTCAGATTTATTTTGAAAACTATACAGTGAATTCTTTTCTTTTATTTGTCGTTTTCATCAGAACATGACAGATCATGGCTCACCACTACGTCCTATCCTTTGTGGTCTTCAGTTTAATATCTGCTCTGCAATAAAATTTACACAAACTCGTTCGGTAGGTTATTCGCTGCATTCATCTGTCCCTCTTGCATTCAATATTTCCTGTGAGTGAGAAAATTTTCCAAGCCTTCTGTCCTCATTATTCCCCTTACGAATTTCAACCGTCTCTTCTTAATTCTAAGTGGAAGTGTAGAAACCGGTTTTGTTGAAAACCTTTGCACACAATTGTAAGCGTAAATATATGTAAGTCCTATCTGATATATCTATCTATCTATCTATCTATCTATCTATCTATATATATATATATATATATTTTAAGACATTTTTATGTTTATACATTCTTTTTATAGATACAAATATTTAAGTAAATGCTCTGTTTATAATAAACAGTATTAATAGCATTTACCGGCCTGAATGTACGAAAAGATTTCATAGAAAATATTCATCCTTCCACAGGAATCGAACCTGTGTCATATAGCCTGATGTACCTTAACCGATTGGGCCAAAGAGGATTGTTCGGTTAGCAAGGTCGATTTTACTTCTTTTAAACTACAATCTTTCATAATTCGCCCACGTACATTCATATCTGCTCAAAGCGTATCCAAATGTAAACAAATGACGTCACACATGAAATGGACAAAGTTTGACAATTATTTTAAGTATTTTTATGTTTATACATTGTTTTTATAGATATAGATATTTAAGTAAATGCTCTGTTTATAATAAACAGTATTAAAAACATTTACCAGCTTGAATAATATAAAATGGCGAAATTCCTTTGAAAACAAAATTTTAAAGGTGCGTTAACCTACAAATCACTCGATGAATATTATGTTAATGTTTTTAAAAAAAATTATTTTTAAAACAATGATCATAACATACTAATCTACTTTTTGTATGAATGATTCATTATAATATATATATATATATATATATATATA